CAACCCACAGTGCTAACTACTGCACCACTGTGCCACATTTATTATACAACTTTGGGTAGATTAAAACTTCTTTGGAGGCATGTTGGGCTCTGCTAAGCGGGCATACTTTCTTGTATTTGATGTAAACATAACTCGTCACTGATGCAGTGCATACTTAGCCAAATACCGCTTCCATGTAGGATTTGACAAAGTGTAGATGAAGTGCACATCAAGCGCACTGCACGGTGCTGGCTTATTTAAGAAACAGGACACCATTGAATACCTGTGCTAAGTGCATGAAAGTGCATGCCAGGAGTGGTAGTGTGTAAGTGAGGACCACATGGAACAGAGCCACATGGAACAGTCTCTTCTGCAACCATGGGTAGTAGAGTAGTTTTGTGATACTTCTGTTAGTTGCACCCAAAATGGCTGAAACAACCAAATGTGAAATGCAATTGGCATTATTTGTCGAAGTTCTCAGATCAGTGGAGCCTTCACTATGATTCTATTGAGAAATCAAACCTAGGCAAACATTACGCACTTTGTGTGTCTCTTTTAACTGAAAGTATTATTTTGTAGTAATAATAATAAGAAGAAGAAAAGCAAAATATATGAGCATAAGGACTCCTTTTTAATGGCTCACAGTTTTCACCAAATTGTACAAGGTTTCTGTCATTCACCTCCCTGTTCTCACTACAGTTGTGTCGACGTGTGTGGGGGTGTAAGGCAACAATACTGCCCAGTGAGCCACCACAGGGCCTTTAGATATGAGCCTCAGCTAATGCCTGTTCATCAACAAACATGAAAACCTCAGAGATGCGTTATTAGTTTGCTATATGTATAGAAATACCCATTTTCATGTTTCGATCAAAAGGCATTAAATGTGACAATATCTTTCATTGGTTTCAAGTACAGTGCACTGTTCCTTTTGAGCTTTAAGACATTGACATCAGAAAAAAATCATTAATTTAGCCTTTGGTCTCTATGGGTTTGCTATCTGCAGTTCATTAATTTCTTTTGAAATGAAATGCCGCCAGCCATGACCTACTGGCCTTGTTTCAATTCTCATACTGTGCTGATACACTTACTTTGTATAGTTTTCTTTTAAGACTGACTTACTTGTCTGTTCGATGTAGACTAATTTATGATAGAAAAACTTCTATTGACACTGTTCAGCATGCTGACAATACAGTTCCAATGAGACAATGGCAGGAAGCAAAATGAGATTTTACCACTTTCACTGCTTAATCAACTCTTTCATTTTTTAAAGAAGAATTATATAACTTACAGTGTTGCTACATTGCAGATTTACACATAGACTGTTTTAAAAGAGACACACCCCATAAATTACTGCCCAAACATAAGGAAATGGTTCTAGGGTACTAATTTTGTAATTTGTAATGAACAACCAATCGTTGATTCAGGGTGAATTCTTCAAGGATAAGTCAGGATGGGCAGTCGCTCTACTTAAGTTCTTGTGATCTTTTGATCACAGATTCGGTTTCTAAGCTGTGATTTAAAAAATAAAGATTCGAAAATTTGAAAGACTGCAGATATTTGCTCTGTTTTGATTCTACCTTCTTATTATCTCTATCTATGTGATGATTCTCCCTTTATGTAAGTCAATCCAGCAGAAAAATATCAGTGTGGGTGTTAGGGTGAGATGTGATGTCAGCATGCCAAAAGCTATCTTCTCAGAACATTGTGTATTTCATAAGGAACATGGGTTTAAGCATGGGTTTAAGAATCCTCATTGAATTGTCTTTTGTTTAATATAAAGATAATGCATGATGTGGATGAAAACAAGAAAACCAAGTTAGGTAGTTAAACTGGGAATATTAAAATATGTGCTGTACACAAAAACTAGGGAGTCTTGTCTACTGCAGAGAACCTTCAACTGACCTGGGCTGAGCTCTCCTCCCCATCACTGATATATTGCTGCAGAAATTTTTCACATTGAAAACTTCGATATTCAACTTTAAGTGCTAACGCAAGATGATTAAGCATATAACATAAAGAGTGATGGCTTCTTTGTACAGTATTTAAAGTGGAAATTACTAGAATGCAAGCAGCCATGTATATAGTACCTCATACGGTAGAAAGACAATGCTGAACTCAAGGTGCCAATTCATACAGTTAAAGGTTTGGTATTCTATCTATTTGTGACTTGGCCTGGCATTAACAGGGTCTCATTTACATTCATATAACTAGAATGTTGAGCCAGGAGATAACAGGTTTTAGACATGATTGCCAATCCATTTAGCCACCCACTCTTACTGGCTGTGCAATGCTTATACTGCAGTTCTATTCTGAAGCCACAGTAGAAATATTTCCTTTCTATAATAATACAGAAAACAGATATGCACACATGTGCATGCACAGGACCAAGTTCTGCACCCTACACACCTTAAAGTATGCAGAAACATATTAATGCAGCGGCTTTACTACAACTGCGATCCTAAATTCATCGTTCCACATTAATCATTCAATTCCAGCTGATATGTTTTCATGTCAGAGTCTCGTTTTGAAAGCTACAGTGTCACTTGCCTAGTGGTCAGTAATTTAAAAAATGGGGATTACAGATGCTCATTATTACTTCTCTATACCACATTCTCATTCATTGTGGTGTTTGACTTTATCCAAATTAAATATATGAAGTACATCTCGACCCAGCATCAATAAAAACATTAATTTCCAGCAGGGGTGTCTTCAGCCTTATGCTTCCTGGGACAGACTCCAGGCTTACTGTAAATCTGCACTGGATAAACAGCTTTGAGAAATGGAGTGAGAGGTGAATATCATTTGTTCTGTTTGGACACAGCTTGGGCTAAATTATCAGAGACCAACAAAAAAAATCCCTCTATTTGCTAATATGACCATTTCATACAAGTTTGATGTGGTAACATCAAAATGGCAATGAAAAAACATGGATAAAACACTTACTTGACATATATACAGTACACAATGTTACATATAAACATCATCTTGAAATCAAACTGGATTTTCTACCTCTGGTACCACCATGATATTAATTCTTAAATATACAGACTCTCCTCAGTTTATGTTGTTTTGTTTTATGACATTTTAACATTATGACGTGAACAATGCACATTCAGTAGTCATCAAACTTGTTTTAATCTGTTCCTGGTCTAGCGATATATCTTATAATACTTTCTACTGATGCCGTACTTTTTTTTCTGTATCGTACAGTACGTTTAATAATAAGAAAAACTTCACTTATTTACTATTCAATTACTGATATTTACCCACAGTTACTTTTATTTGCAGTTTGTATTTAGTTATCTATCCATTTTCTGTACCTGCTTGTCCAATTCAGGGTTGAGGGGGGCTGCAGCTCGCCTACAGGTGCAAGGCAGGGAATAACTCAGGACGGGGCACGAACCAATCACTGATCACAATGACACATACTGTACATACCTATTGACAGCTGAGTAACTCCAATTCACCTTATCATGTCTTTGGACCAGAGGAAACCCCATAACGACACTGGGAGAACATGCAAACTCTACACATGGTGACTCAAATTCTGGTCCCAGGGGTGTGAGCCAACAGTGCTAACCACTGTGCTGCTTGTTTATCATCTCATATACATATTTATATTTAATTTATGATATTTTCAACTTACAATGGGTTCATCAGAGTGTAACCTTTAGTCGAAGAGCACCTGCACTTAAAATGTTTGTTGAATGGAGATTTTCATGTGATGACTGCAACAACTAAAATTACACAAAATCCATCACATAAAATTGTGCTTGGCAAAAACAACTCATATATTCAAAAGTATATGATATAAAAATTTGTCTGTCAATGATTGTTTTCAAGTATTTCTATGAACCATTCTCATTATATGTCCAGAATGGGACACCAATTCATCGCAGGACACAATCCTAGGCAGTTTATAGGGCAATTCGCCAATAAATATTTCCAAATTGTAGGAAGAACCTGGAGGAAGCCAGACAGGCAGTTAGAACATGCAAACTACACACATAAACACACACACACAGGTTCATAATTATATCTTTATGGGGACCGTCCATTCATTTCTTTGGGGAAAACTCTAATCCCAACATGACAACCTTAACCCCTTAACCAGCCCCAACCTTACCCATAAATAACTTAAGACATTTGGAATTTTTACATTTTTGATTGCATTCACAGATCTTTGTGGTGAAAAATATTCCCCACATGGTACCGTAACACAGTACTGACAATAACAATACCAGGCTGACAGCTTAAACAGTTATGATTCACTTTTTTGAAGGGCACGCATTTGAAATGAAGGACTCTGAACACATAAAAACATGCTTCATGGCCTATAAATAGGCTTTTAGTTTTAACAGCTTAAGAAGTATAGACAGAACTATAAGTATATTTTAAAAATATACAACAGATTTATAATGCTTTAATCATCATTTTCATTAAAAACTAATCTAGCCAAACAATTCTCTCACTCTCACTCACTATACATTGTTTTCTAGAAAGCAGAAGGAAAATATTTCATAAGAGATAAAAGTCTGATTTCATTAATATTAGTATCTGACATTTTTGTGTTTGTATTCTGGTGTGTGTTTGCGTTTGCATACAAAGCTCACACATGCCCACACTGACTGCAGCTGGAGTGACTCAACACCCCTTCTTTACATTCTGAGCTGTACCGTGAAGGGTAAGTTACAGAGAATGATGTTACTCATGGCTGCTGCCAGGCCACGAAGGACGCTGCTGTGATATAGAGGCACCACCGTATTCCTCTGCATTGCTATATATGTCTACATGGGAATCCTGAGGAGAACAGAAAGCAAGATGCCTAACTTGATACCCCCACCTACTTCAGTGGCTAGACTGGCAGTTAACTCCAAAGGTACTGTAAGCTATCTGTAGATTAAACAACAATCAGGTTTCAGCCAGGGAATGCAGAGTGAATGTATCTTTCTGACATAACAGCATGCATGTAAATGAGAGACAATGCCATGGGGGGGGGCTCCAGGAAGGAGTACACTCACCCACTGAGCACCACAATGAAGTCCATGACATTCCAGCCATTCCTCAGGTAGGAGCCCTTGTGGAACACAAATCCCAAAGCCACAAGCTTGATCCCCGCTTCAAAGCAGAAGATCCCAATGAAGTAGGGCTCTGTTTTTTCCTGAAAAGAAAACACATTAAGCCAGTGCGCTGCAAAAAGTCATTAAGATAGAACAGGTCAAAGGGAAAACAATATTTTGGCAATAATAAAGCTGCCTTTGCCCTTGATTCCAATTAATCTTTTTCTAGAACATCAGTGCATTTATAATGTAAACATTTCCCTAAACATGAGTTGGCATGGTAGCAAAACCAGCCTTTATTATTTAGTTCACAAATCTTGGACATAATGCAACGTATCTTAATACTACAAGTCCTTAATATTTCTCAGAAGAAAAGAAAGCTTTAAAAGCATTTATAAGTTCAGTGACACTGCAAAGCTTCTCAAAATATGAAACATTGCAATAAGTATTAACAATACAATAAAGTATTATGAACATTTTCCTTGAATTTAAACATTAATGCCACAACAAGGGGCACCAGGTACAGTGATTATAATGACAGGTGAGAATCCATTGCAAAATGTGCTTCCTGCCTTATTCAGCTGTGATTGTTTTCTTGCGATTAACTGAGAAACCTGCTGCCATAAGACATAAGTACAAATGCCTTCCTGTGCATTAAATTATAACAAATCAGGCAGACAAAACAGTTTATCAGTGCTTGAATTTCACTACAAATTTGATTCTTTCAGTGTTACTGATACTGATATGTTTTTGTCCATTACAGCAACTGCCATTAATAAAACGTGTAGCAATACCATCAGTACCCACAGTCTGCAGTGAGGAGTGTAAGCAGGCTCATAACCCTGAGCTACACGTCTTGGGAGTTTTAATATAGAACTCCATAAGGAATAATATATATTTAATACTGTCTTTTGGGATAGCTATTGAAAAAATAAATAGAGGAGTAAAGAGATATGTGAACATTGATAGTTAATAGAGTAATGAAAAGCAGTGCTTCATAGTAAATTTGAGGAAGTTGCACATTGTTTGGAATCACAGTATGATGTGAGAAGTGGCTAAAGGTTGCTTGTCTATCGTAATACTACAGGAACCTACAACCCACACCAGGGCTGTTTCTCAATATCAAAACGCAAAGATCACACTTGTGGTGTTGTCATGACCAGTCTCGCTAAGTTGCCTCCCAAGAATGAACTTGAGACACAGTGAATCATGGGATTGTTCTTGTTTGGTGAGGATGCAGCTGATGCATACATAATATTGGAGCAGGGCAAGAACACCATCCAGGGACTTTAACTGTCCTCTGTACTTTTCTTAGCATTGGAACTGGTCTTCACCAATGGAAGATGATGCAAACCAGTACACAAGAACAAAAGTACGATGAAGTACACATATTGAGAAACATCCCCCTAGGATAAAAACACGGGGTATCCTCACCAGTCTCTTTGACATGGGGGTTTTGTCCTCTCCGGGCAAATGCTGCTCCAGTGCCAGAACGATGCAGTTAGCAATGATAGTGGCCAGGATCATGTACTCAAACGGAGTGACACAGTAACAGTTAAGGAAACAATCCAAACTAATTGCATATGACAGATAATGGCAAACATTGATTTTAAATGTATACAGAAACAACAAAATGCTATTTTGTATATTTTAATTTTCCAACAAGCTTTTTACTTATATGGGTGGCTCAGTACGTAGCACTATTGCCTTGCATCTTTAGGGTTGTGAGTTCCAGTCCCACCTCTGCAATGGATGTGGCATTCTTCCCATGTAGTTTCTGTCTGTAGTCAGCTACGGACATCCATTCTGGATATTTCTCAATCACTTATGGTGTGTGTATGCTTGCCTGCCCACCCAGTGATGGATATATATCCCAAGCAGGCTCCAGGTGACCCAGACTAAGAACAATGCCGCATGTACAGGAAAAGAACAAATTAATTTGTTCTGAATGTGTAAAGATGGCTGCTTCCATAGCAGCAGATCTAATTCAGGGTCAAAGGGAACCTGTATACCATCCCAGAAACACAGGAAAGAGAAATGCGAGACAACATTCCGGTCAGTGGCAGGTCACATGCTCACACAGTTCAGGACATTAATAGCTAGACTCACCTACATGGAGGAAATGCACCCAGACAAAGAAAGAATCTCCCAAAGTTGTGTAGACAGAGCAGGGGTTTTGATTTAACCCCCCAGACAAGGAGCTGTGAGCCTGCAGTGCTAATTGCTGCACCACCACGTACACATGTAAACCCATATTTATAAATGCATAATCACTTATTGGGGTAATTATGGTACCTTTTTAACCGGCATAATGAGAGAACATTGTGTGAATTCGTTTGCCATAAGCACACAACATAAGGTGATTCTAACTGCATTCATGCATAAAACGGCCTGAAATAACACACTGCACAGTTCGACAAGGGTCCTCTGCATCTACAAACACCCAATTAATGAATATCATAAATCTTTAATCTTGTCGTGAACAGAACTCCTCCACCAAAGATAACCAGTTACCATCGTCGTGATTTCCCTTTAGCAGCCCCAGACTTCTGCACAGTCTTGCGTGAGTAACTCTGCTCCTCTCCTACAGATCCTGCTGAACAGGGCTACAGGCCCTCCAGGCCTCGCAGCGATCCCATTGGCTGCGAACGGGCCAGTGGGACTGCTGCCATGGATAGACACACTAGCTGGATATAGGCTACCTCCTCTGCAATGAGAGCAAAGAGAAGGGAAGGGGGTGCTAGATGGGAAGTGGGGGGGTGGGTGGAAATGAGAGGCTTATGAAAATAGGGCGACTCTGTACACTCTTCCAAGGTGTTCCCAGGGAGCCCCAGAGGTTAGGGTTAGAATTCTGCCTACAGGATAATGTGCTGAGGCCCTGCGTGGGCGCTGCCACTCTCGTCTGTGAGCAGAGAAATATGGGATAAAATAAACATGGCAGAGAGATGGGGATCAGCGAGAACAGCAGCCTGGGGGCGGCGGGGGTGGGGGCTGGGTGGTGGGGGTTCATACAAAGATGCTCCCACTCAGAAAGATGTGTGGTGAAAATGCATGCATGAGCAAACAATAGTTTATTTTCTGTTACTATTTTCAAATAGTGATCAGTAGGCAATATATACAAACATTTACTGTAATTGACGAAAATGTGATTAAGTCAACAAGAGGGAAAAAAATCCATGGGAGTTAAAAACAATTGCAATGGGCGTTGATTTTGTGCGACATATTTACTTATATAACCAAGTACTCAGTGTTAATTGTAAACAGCTGAACCTCGGCTGTAATTCTGCAATGCTGTAATGTAACAAAGCTTTGTATTTGTCACGCTCTTGGTTCTGAGTTAACTTAAATCCAGCTTGGCCTTTGTGTCATAATGCCATTTTAACAGTGGTTGGGGTTTTAACAGTGGCATGCAAACATGGGTCACACAGAATGGCTTTTTGTTTTGTACAGCGTGTTAAAATTAAGTTACGTCTTGCGTCTTTCTGTCATTTTTCTGAGAATTTGGCAAACAGGCAATTCAAAATTAATAAAAAAATATGACAAGAAGCACTTTTATGCAGAAAGACAGAAGCACAGGCTCTTTTCCACGCATGCCGCACACTTTAATTGCACACATCCACATAGGCATATACACACACCCACACATGCACACGAGCCACTCTGCCTCCTAAGCACCCTTTGTGGAGACAGCAAGCAAACAGTCTGCTGTCTGAGTGAAAGAGCTGTATCCACGGCAACAGGCTCTCGCAGCCCTCAGAAAGAACCGATGGAGAGTGCTCGCACATAGCAGGTCACACAGAGATCCATTATATTTCGTCCCCACAGGTTATCCTCATTTAAAGTATGCAGCTCAATAAAAAATTTTTAAAATAAATATGGTGCAGACTTCAGCATCAGTTCAAACCTAACATTGATATACTCGAAGACAGATGGTTAATCTCATATGCTGCTGCAAGGCTAGATATGTAACTATATTCAAGTGAGGGTAAGACCCACATCTCTGCTACATTATTCTTTTCTTGCCTTGAAAATCATGTCATTTACTCAAAAAAAAGGTGGCTACAGCGAGGGCTTCCGGGATTTTTTGCTCATTGACAAGCCCGTCCATATTAAAAATAGCATGGCTTCGACACTTAGTATGTGCCGATTCCCTGAAACTGTTATAGCTCAAACAATCCATATCTTTCCATTTTCGTATTTACAGCCCATCTATACAGCATTTTAATGACACATTTAAAACCATATGAATCATCTTATGAGAATGAAAGCAAGAAGGTTGCAAAAACAGAATTTCCTAAAACATTAAACATCAGTTGATAATTACTGTGTAAAGTGGCTGACAAAACTCCATTGCAAACCAACTGTTACTGTAGTCCACTTAATTCAAATACTCTCAGTTTTGCTTCTTGTGCATCCACCTTAACTACAGAAGTCAAAGAATCCATCTATCCATTCATCCATCCACCAATCCATCCATCCAGCCATCCCTCCATCTGCAACTGCAGTACTTGGATACACACAATTTGTCTAGAAACACCATGTCACCTAACTGTTTGTTCTTTAGATTGGTAAATATACACTGCACTAATTACCACCTTTTAATGCATGTGCATTAGCATTAATTTTGCCCTGCACATTCTTTTGATGTTAAACAAATATAAAGAATACATTTTTTAAAATGTCTCTGTGCCTGAATAAAGCTAAATGTTATGGATCTGTGTAAGAATTCAGTTTGTGGCTCTTTTGGTGTCTAGAATTATAAAAACTGGGAGAATATTGCCACAACAAATGTCACAACAGTATTGTCAGGAACAATTTGCATGTGACATTTTGCCATCTTTAATTTTTTTTTTTCTATGATTAACTTTAATTTATTCTAAAATGACTGTTATAAAAAGAGTCTCAGTTGTTCACTTACTTCAAGTAAGCCACCATTCTACATTTTAATCACAAACCAAGGTGGGATAATGACCATATGCAGAACACTGACACGTACAGCCCGGTCTGACTCCTGACAGCAACATAAGGAAGCAGGATAATAGAGCAGGTAAAAGGATTGGATAAGAATGTTCCATTGTCTTCCACATGTATAATTAGTATTACTAATACTGCTACTACCAAGCTCAAAATGTGCAATTTCAAAATGTGTAATTTCACTTTAGAATTATGTTAATGCAATTCAAAAAAATATCAGTCCCCTAAATTGCTACGATCACAGTAAGTTAGTGACAGGATTTTTTTAAAAAATACGCTCACTAATGGGCATGGACAATGGGAACACATGACAAACTCAAAATTTAATCCATCCATCCATCCATAAGCTCTGAAAACAGTTCATAGAAATCAATCTGCATAATTAGAAGTACAAACAAGTTGTCTAGTTGCTCATCTATATCCTAAGTACTACACAATTCTACTTCTAACATTGACGTATAAGATAATAGAGATTATTCTCTCATTGTGCTGATTCAAGCAGTGGTGTATAATAACAACACAGTATTATAAAACATTGACATGCATATATGAACTGTACACTTAAAAAAATGTACAAAAACAAAGCACCAAACACTGCAGTCACTCTCCCAGTGTTTAGGACTATAGCCTCACACCTTGCAGGTTTGGGTTCCACGCCCCCAACTCTCTGTATGTCCTCCCAGTGTATAGCACTATAGCCTCACACCTTGCGGGTTTGGGTTCCACGCCCCCATCTCTCTGTACGCTCTCCCAGTGTTTAGCACTATA